GAGGAGGTTTCTTCATTCCCAGAAATTTCATCAAGTTTCTGAAGGAGAGAAACCCAGTCATATCCATCCCAGTGGTTCATTGGAAAAACATATCTTGTATTAAATACTTTAAAGATTCATGAAGCAGCTTTAATTTTGTTTGCATTTCTTCCTGAAGGGTAAAGCTGTCAGAAATCTCTAAATGCATTGCCTAATCCATTTCCAAACTTTATTAAGGTCTTCAAGCAAAACTCATTTTTGGAGTTTAGCAAGTATGCAGACAGGAGAGAAGGCAGGATTATTCTTTCCCTCGTAATGCTGAACTACCTGCATGGCTGTAGTGTCAGCCCTTCACAAAAAATAGTACAACTCAAATGGACCAGTTCTGTAAGACCAGCTCAGTAAGACCTGCTCTGATAAATAGAGGACTTCCCATGTTTCCACTGAATCAGATACAAGTAGAGTAAATACAGCTACCAGGGAATGAAGGTTCAGACAAAAGAAAATTTCCCCTCTCTTCATTGTCTACGAGTTCACAGGACTGTCATGAGTGGGCTCATACAGCTGAGAGAAGTTTTTTTTTATTTTCTCGTTCTCCCAGTTTCTAATTGATGACTTTTTTTTGGTGTTCGTACATAGGGTTTTTTTTCCACGGTTCTGGTCTGCAAGCTGAAGAGCCTTTCCTGTTTTCTTATGCCTGCATAGACAGTGGTCACAACTGGGCTCATGGGTCTGGCTGAGAAATATTCATTTAAGGAATCGGTTCAATTGAAGGGAAAGAATGAGTGAAAATCCTCTTTAGAGTAGGGAAGAAGGATCTGACATCAAGCTCTCTGTCACATACAAAAGAAATATCTCTGGGTTGCCAGCCAAGCTCTGCAGTAGCCAACACAGAGCAAGGACATGCAAAGACTCTTCCCAAGACAACAGCAGGATGCCTCAGGTTTGATGCTTGGCATGTTGCACAAAGGCGCCTGAAGGGCTGTTTCACAATTAGGTCCAATCCATCCTCAGCTGGTCCATGGAAATGATTAGCCATGGCATCCTCATTCTTTGCGTGGGAGCACTAGTGCTAAATGCATCCAGCAGTGTGTTTCTCTGCAGCATACCTATCTGCCCTGGAGAGAGGCACTGCTTCTCAGGCCGACCTGAAGTCCTTTGCTGGTCGTACACTGTGAGACCTGATGACAGTTCATAATACTAATTTAGAATCACACTAATATTAAATGTGAGCTATGCCTGGCCAGCTTAGATCATCATTACTACCACAGAGGTCAAATGTATCTTCCCAGACTCAGTAGTGTTAGGCAGATGTTAATGAGGCCAAGATTCAGCTATCAATTACTGTAATTGTTCTCAGTTGCCTGATTGCCACAGTTCATAATGTGAACAGACCTAGTACAGAGAAGTGGAGACCATGGTGGTACCCAGCTCCCTTCCCTGGCAGAGTGCTGGGCATAGTGCTGGTGCTGCGAGCTCCCTGAGCAGGGCAGACAAGCCTCTGCTCCCTGAGAAGGGCAGCCTTAAACACCCCAGCACGTTACTGCACTCTGTCAGGTCTGCCAGAAATGGGTGTTTTCTTCATTTCTTAGCAAAGTCCTTTGGTGGTCAGATTGAAGCATATCAAGTTTTGTCTGGCTAGGACACCTTAGTACAGTTTGGTGTCTTCGCTTTCTGGTTACTTTTCTTCTCAAAATAAAAAATAACAGTGACTAGTCTCATGTTAAGCTCCTCCATTGTTAGCTCATAGATTTCTTGCCTGATGTTTTCCTTCTGTTTCCAGGCTGCTACTCCAAGCATTTTCTGAGAGGATGCCCTATACCTTATTAAAAGTCACTAAGCTCGTTATAGCCTTAATTTTCTTGGGACTTCTCTGGAATGACCTCTGGAATGACCTCTCTCCTGCTGCCATGCTCCAGAGCCAGAATCAAGGGCTGCACCTTGTCCTCCTGACACTCTGACTTTTTCAACCTGTCATACCGGCACAGGTGACTGAATGTTCCACTGCAATGCGCTCAGTCTGCTCTCAGCACCTTGCCAAGAATGTTGTAAGGTGACAGTGGGCATGGTGGTGCTTTGATGGTAGAGCATCCTTGCGTGTGACTTGCTAATGTCACTATTTGGCTTAGAGTGTCAATTGTTGGTTAGAGTTTCTTGGAATTAAGTAAGTATTAACTGTAAATTGCTTCAGCTGGTATCTAATTACAGAATACATTGGGAAGCACTTGGGCGACAATCCAACAAAGCACTTAAGCACCCACTGATTTTTAAGGAAAGGCCCCTTGACTGGGATTGCTTGTGTTCTCCGATATCATCAGAAGTGTTTGTTAGTGGACCAGTACTTTCTCCTGACTACCTCAGCACATCCATCTCATTTTCTGAAGTGACTTAAGGAGTTGGGAGTTCAAGGTTGACTGGAAGTCTGTAGGAAATAAACTCTTAAATCACTGTTGTACTTTGAAAAGTCTGCTCAGCTGGACAGCTTCTTTTGCTGTTCTTCATCCTTGCTGTAATAAATAAAATTATGACAGCTTTTAAACCACTACTAAATTCTGAGGTTTGCCTTTGCCCTTCTAGATGTTCCTGTTGAAGTGAGGGTACCCAAGGTATTCTAATATGGAATGGTTGGAGCACTCTTTCCAAAATGCAGACATATACAGTTTTTCAACTATGTCCTGCTAACAGCAAAAAGGGAGAACTGGCAGTAGGAAGGTTGCAGTGAGAAGTGATAGGAATGACTTAACCCTGGTGGGATAACAAATTCAACACAGCCTTTTATCTAAAGCAGTCCATGATGCCCCATAATGTAAGTAATCATTGAGAACTAAGGAATGAAAAGTCTTGTGAACTGGTGAGAGTCACACTGAGGATAATAATGCATTGATTTAATATGATGAAGAGCAAATAAAAGTGGAGGTTATGGTTTAGGTGTGCTGGTTTTAAAGCTTGGATTAGAAATACCGATTTTCTAAGAATATAAGTGGGAGGATGGAGGAATTGCACTGGGGATTAGTTCTACTCAGCCTTTCAGTCTGGACAGGAATGTGTGGCTATGTACCCAGGTGTTTCAGTCCACTTACCAATAAAACAAACACTTTTTGCTCCAGAAAAGTTCACCAAAACTTCTTGATCAGAAGATGAAGGAAGTCCAGACTAATCCACTGAGAACTTGTACTATCTCAGTGGTTCCCTGTTTTTTTATAGGCAAAATACTTTGGTCCTTCCCCAAATACCCCTCTGCTTCTGACATTTATGTTCATCCTACCTTTCCTTTGATTGCTTGTCCCTCTGCATGGCAAGTGTTGCTTTGACTGCCCTCTCATTCTCACTGCACTTCCTCCTCCTTATCCTTCATGGCCACAGCCTCCTTGCTTTGGCTACCTGGTTTCTTTGCTTCCCTTCTTTCCTGCTAGCTCTGAGTGCTGATGTAGGATCCCACCAGGATGCATGGCCTGGGGTGGGCTCCCTCCTCTTCCTCACTTCCACCAGCAATGCACCCACTCCTTGGGTACCAGTCTGATTTACTGGGATGCAATTTGCTATGTCCTGCTGATACAAGTGAGGCCCTGAAGCAAATTGCTGTTAGATCAGAGATGTCCCTCATCAAGGGAAATTTTGCAAGGTCCATGTTTTTAGCTGATGGTTCTTTCCTCTTAGTGAAGTATTCCTGATGGACGACTTTGATATGTTGGTGTGGTCAAGAGGAAAGTCAGAGTCAAAAAAAAATGCAAAAAGGAGGCTGTGTCAGAAAATTCACACCTCCTGTAAATCTCATCTTTATTCCAGGTTTGGCTTTAGATTGTGTAAGAATACTGCTTAGACAGAAGTTTTACATAGTGGCCCTCTGTATGGTACAGGCCACCAGCAAGCTGCTAGTAAGTAGCTATGGTAACACTGTAATCAATGACAAGTACTCAGGTCTCTGAGAAAACAGTGCTGGGATGAGTAGGAATTATGAATAATTGCACTTTAGTAGAATTCATAACTGATTTCAAGAGGTTACCCAACAGTCAAGCATTTGTTGCTCTCCCCATCCCCATGACTGCTGACAGTGGGGAAAAAAAAGGGACTGTTATGCCAAAGTAATGAGCAAAGAGGTCAGAAAGTTTGATAAGAGCAGGAAAAGTCATTTCCTGTGATATCATTAGCAGTATTTTAGAGAGCAGGTTCAGTAATTGCTATGGTAATTCCGAATGACTTTTGACTGTGAGAACACATAGGTAATTTTTTTAAGTTAGCATCTTTACTAGTGAGAGAGAATTCCACTAAATAAGGCAGCATGACATTACAGAGGGGCATGGGCTGGGGACTTGGGAAGCGGAGACTCTGCTCTGTGCTGTGTGACTTATCCAGGCCTCAGTTTTTCCTCTCAAAATGATCTAGGGCAACATACATGCATCAGGGAGCAAGCACAAAAGGAAGTTGTGAATTTAAGGATGCAGCTGCCTGTCAAGGTGACGTTTCAGATGGAGCAGCGCTATGTTGCAAATATTTCAGCGAGTGCATGCTCGTAAAACATATATCATGCATTTGATATTACTGAACAAACTACAAAATTAGAAAGGGTGGCAAGTGCTCTTTGTGTGGGCAAATGCAGAAGTTGCTCAAGTGAATACTGGTTTTGAAAGTATGAGATCTAATTATGAGTTAACAGCAGACCTTGTGATGGTTCCCCTGGGAGCACAGACAGGCAATAGTATTGTGGGCCTTTTCCAGGTAACTTTTGAGCAAAGTCATTGATATTCCTTTGGTCTTCAAGGGGTGCTTTTAACTTTATAGAGAATGAGAGCTGCTACAAGTCTTTGTGCATGCAGATACACTTTGGTTTTCACTGAGTTGATGGAAAGTTTGCCGCTCCTAGCTGCGTTGCTTCTTTTCAGCTTTTACCACACCTTTGGGGTTAGAAAGAACCAAGCCTTCAAGTCCCTGTATGCTGGAGAGCGATGAGTAGAGGACACTCTTCAGTGTATTTTACCTTCCAGTGGCTGCTTGGGTTTTAATTCTTTCCTTCTTCTCTCCAGGTGCAAACAGATGACCTATCCAGATGACCTGCCCCAGATCTCTGTCGTCTTTATATTTGTAAACGAGGCACTCTCAGTCATCCTGCGCTCTGTGCACAGCGTTGTGAATCACACCCCATCACACTTGCTCAAGGAGATCATTCTGGTGGATGACAACAGTGACAATGGTGAACATACATAACTTTTCCTCTAAGTACTGTATCCCATGTGGTTAATGGACATGAAATCTAAATCAAAGGGAGTTTGGTCACTACTAGCTGAAATTATTTTTTTAAAATGTTAGGATGAAACATCATTGAGTCATTCTGCATTTAAACAGCTGGAGGAGGAAGGCCATACATGATTTATAGCTAATAAGCTAGATCATAAGTTGGTGCAAATTAACATACCTCTATTGAAGTCAGCAGAATCTACAAGAGTTTGTGTTTGTCAGTGTGAGGGTTGATTGAGCCACTTGCACAAAGCGGTGAGTAATATTAGCTATTTGTATAACAAATAAACATTATGTGGATAATGTTCTGCTGATCATATTGAAACCCTCACAGGATGAATGACATTCATATAGGCAGTCTTAATATAGAAATGACACTTTTCTCCAAATTTTCACATCCAGAGGAATATTGTTATTAATAGACTAAAAGTTTAAATTCTGCTTCCAAAGAAAAGCGGGGCTACAGATTCTTCTTAAAGATAGTTTCTACTTTTTCACATGGCTTCTTCATGATTTAACAGGTGTTAATAATATCAGATTGAGTTTTTTTTTTTTTTTTTTTTTTTTTTAGGTAGGGAATAAATTAAGACTATGAGAATGAAACAGAATGAGCACAAAGGACATGCAACTTTCAGGTCATCTGGTTCATTAATGTAAAAATAACACTTCTGTTACAGCAATCAAAACTCACAGTATTGGTGAGGATATAGTGTGCTATTGATCAACATCTTTCACAGGACAGTTGGGTTTGAAGAACTTTCAGGAGACAGCTGACTAGCAGTGAATGTTGTGTTTTAGGTTGTTACACGTTAAACTTCTAGAACTGTTGCATCTTCTCGAGCCCTATTTGTTAAAATAAATCTCAAGCATTTCCTCCACAGATGAGCAGCTTTAAATCTGTATTTCAAGTTGCTGTTCCTCTTTGAGGTCCCTGAAGAGAAAGGAGGGTTGAGAGAGCAAATCACTAAACCAAAAATAACTTCTAAAACTTATAGATTTAAGAAACTTTTTGTCCAATTTTGCTTACTGTTATGGCAGTGTAACCTATGGAGTAATTATATGAGTGTTTGAGTCAATTCAATACAGAGAAGAATTGGATTCACTGTTTCTCAGTGAACTCTTATATGGCTTTTCTCTGTCATCCTTGTAGATAACTGGAGATTTATCAGGTCTTTGATTCCAATGATAATGATTCTACTGTGTAATATAGATCAGAAGAATGAGGCTTCTGATGTCCTGGAAGCTTCTACTAGTTTTCCTAATAAATATATTTGACTAAAAGCCTCATTATGAATAAGCTGCAGTGTAAAGGAATTACCAAACTAGATTGGTTTAAAAAAATAGAGACAATTTTGGTAATTTGCCTGTTTATAAGCCTATTGAAATGAAGCTGAATAAAGGAGTGAATGAGTTCTGCTCCATCTGTGGTGGAATGCCTGAAAATGAACAAAAGAGAAAAAGTCTATTTGAAATCTTCAATATCCATTTAGTTCAACAGGGAAGAAGCCTGGTATTGAGGATTCTTAATTATATTTAAGGGAAAACCCTTAAAATTAAGGGAAGTGAACTGTGATCCGAATTAGGTCTTGACCAAAAATTCATTGAGGTTATTTTCAAACTCTTACTGGACAACATAATTCAGGAAAAAAAGAGTCACGACTCTCCCATGTTATGCTGCTGTAAGGTCTAAATTGCTCCTCCAGAGACCAGGTATAACCTAATGCACATCATCAGAGAATTAGAATAGAAATTATTTAAAAACACTTAGACAAACTACCTCCTCAAAACAATACTCAAATCCATCAGGCTATATTAAACCCGTGCAAGTCTCTGATGCATAGAGACTTTCTCTGAGCTGATACACCTGAAGTGGTCCACGCCAAAACTGTGGTACTTGGTTTGTGTCTGTGAGACTGCCTAAGGGTTTAGGAATATTTAAGGATGTCTTTCCATTTCTGTTGCAGAATAAATCAAAGTAAAACATAACAAGGCTTTTTTTATTCTGAGTATTTGTGTGGTTTTTTTGTCCTGCAGTTGAGCTAAAATTTAATCTGGACCAGTATGTCAATAAAAGATATCCAGGTCTGGTGAAAATAGTGCGCAATAACAAACGAGAAGGACTGATTCGAGCCAGAATCCAAGGCTGGAAAGCAGCAACCTCTCCTGTCGTTGGGTTCTTTGATGCTCACGTTGAGTTCAACATTGGCTGGTAAGTTGTTGGCTGTTCCCACACTGTGCCCTATGTCTCAAAGCCCGTGAAAGAGATTTGCTCAGCAACAGGGAAGCTGAAAAACTGTAGGGATGAGACAGCTGTAGGCTGGTGTTACCGCATTAGCAATTACTTTTGAATAATATTCTTGATTATTGCAACAATGCCGACAATCTTCTGCAATGGCTGCAGATCCATAAAAAAAAAGCTGTTGTGCCTGCTATAGTACAGCTCAGTGGAGGGAGAAGTAATTTAAACCACAATGAATATGAAACCTCCAAAGCAGTTAAATGGGGAGACACCGTTAAGGAGACTCTTGGGCTGGAGGCAGATGCGTGCTTTCAAGTACTTTTTTTAATGTCCTTGTCATTTTCTATCATTTCTCCTTAGAAACTTGAATACCAATCTGATTTCCTCATAAATTTTCCTGCATTTGCATTTGAGGGAAACACTGAATGATTTCCTTCGTTTTTAATGGGGCTTGAAATTAGCACGCCTTTCCTCATCCCCTTTGTTTTGCAAGGGAGCAGTACTGACTGGCAAGCACAGTTTTGGGTTTAATGGGCCAGATCGGCACTTGGAGTAAATCTTTGTAGCACCACTTAGTGGCCAATATTTGGCATTACTGGAAGTCGGAATTGAAGGAACCGATATGTACAGTCAGCTGAAAAAGGGCTACTGGGACCTTCGGTATGTAAAATGTGTATTTTCCAAAGATAGGCTGGTATTTGATAATGATGATGCAGGGTTATGGTGGAGCTGATTATGCTCTGCAGTTCTGGGAGATATCCCCAAATTAAAACTAAAAATAGCTGTCCTTACAACCAGAGAGAAACTTAATTGCAAAGGAGTGGAGTGTTTAGTTTTATATGTTCATGAATATCCTTATAAAATGGAAGATGCAGTAAGGTGTCTTGTAGTGGACCTGGTTTATGTTCAGTCCGTTTTCTTCCCCGGGACTATGAAAGACTATAATAGCAGTTGTAGTTATTTTCTAGAAGCTTAAGAGCTGGTTTAATTAATTTATTTACTTTTAAAGCAACTAGAACTTTCAAATCGTTGCAAATGTTCATGTAGGGTAATATCAGGTACAGGACAGAATCGGGCTCTGGGGAGAGCATGCTCTGGGCGCTGTTCCCAGTGCTTGTCCTGCCCAAGCTGCCGTTTTCTGAGCTTTGATGAGAATTTTATTATCACTTGTATAAAGGACATTGAGATCTTACTGAAGTACCCAGAGGAGTTAGGCAATGGTGTCAATAAGCAGGAAAGGGTTTTGTGGTTGCTTTTGAGTTTGCTTGGGTTTATTTTTTAACCTTACTGCTTTGCATTAATGTCAGAAAAGGTTGAAATCAGCATAGCAAGAACCTAGACTACTCAGTAAATGAGAGTTTGTGTATATCGGAGATAAAAAGTGTTTATGTTTACTGCATCCTCCCTGGTGTACTCTCCTTTCAACAAGTGTGCTTAAGTCTCAGTAATACTGCTGAGCCAGTCTGCAGCTGCTTTGAGACCACTTGGCTTCTGGAGTAGCTGCAGAGGACGAATGAGAACTGCAAATGTGCCCAGGAGCATCACGGATTCAGAGCTGCACGTGGAGGCTCAGAGTGTTCCCTTCTGGTGCTTCTCCCGTTGCTTCCCTCAACCTTTGGGGCTGCTGACAGCCATCTCAAACCTTATTCTATCTGTTTCTCCCTACTTTTAATTCTGTCCACCTGTGCACATGCAGTTGCCTGTCATCTCAATTTTCATCTCATCTTCTTTTACTAGGAGGGACTGGAAGTCCTTCCATCTGGACTGCTTTATTTTTTTCCCACTAGGTTAACATTTCCCCTACTCCATAACCATATAAACTTGATAGCCATGCGGGAGTATCTTGTTAAAGTACTGCTGTTTTACTCTCCTACTAAGTCTCATCTTGCATGAATATTTCCCCCCATTTTCAATGTATATTCATGTATTCAGAGGCCATGTGGATTGCTCCCACTCAAAGCTGTCTATGGATTATTTGCAAGGCAATTAAAAGGAAGCCAGTTCTTTTACCACGGAAAAGAGCATTACCTTTCTGTTTGGTTTGTGTTCCATCTAAAAGTCAAGTACCTGCAGTGCAATTTTAGTCTTTCAATCTATGGCTGCTTTACCTGCCTAATCAGTTGGCAGATTAATTCATAAAGAATCAGAGGAGGACTTCATCACTTTCTCATGAAATATGCAGGACTCTGACAACAACAAAACTTTCCTTTAAACAATAGTTGCCCCATTTATGGGTGAGCTTTTGCCTTATATTGCACTACAGCATTTTACAGGCTCTCACAGCATTACTCTCCAGGGACACTTCTTCTAAACTAAAATACAATCTGGTAGGATATAAAAAAAAATACTCTACAACCTGGCAGGTCAAATTAACTATTGAATTATTTATTTTGCTGTGCTTAATTGCTGCTTTTTGCTTCTCAGGTGTTGAAATGTATTAGCGCAGAGCAGAGATTTTCTACTGACCTGTTCCCCTTAAGGCTTTTGATAGTGTGAGCCAATACTGCTCCTATGAGAGCAAAAGTGGAGAGGACTAGCTGAAATGGAGGCAATTACCATTAATTCTCAAATGGAATTTTAAATTAAAATTACACGATAATGTACGTGTACAGTTCACAATGCAAAAATTCTACCTGTCCTGCAGTAGAACCTTGTCTGGTTTTAATGGTTACTTAATGTCAATAGGAGTCAGCATCTAGAGTCAGCAACCCAGCAGATGCAATAGGTATGAAAATCTCTTTGAGGGCATATTTAAGCTTGTGTAGTTGTTTTCCCTTCAGTCCTCTGAAGATTTCAGCATTCCTGCTCTGACTTTTGTATTAGGTCCACCCACTGTGCATTAAGCAACACATGGTAACACTGAGTACAGACCATTGCATTCTGGCTGTTAATTTTGTGCTTAAGATGTAGAGTGTTATATAGACTCCTGACTTTGAGAGTGGGGAAAGAATAACGTGACAAAGAGAAAGGAACTTCACTACATTATATCTGGGATCAGGAAAGAGAGATAGCAGAGATTAGGTGTTAATTCTCTGGGTGAGAAAAAGGACACATTGAGTGAAGGAAAGCAGAAATCAGTAAGGGAAAGGCAGAGACCACAATAGATTAGCAGCCATAAAGAGGGTGCTAGGAGCCATAAAAGAAGACATAATGATAGACTATTATACTTGCATTCTATCTTAGGAATTGCTTTTGCTCCTATCACAGAGGTAGTATCAGAGCACTGAATGGAGTTATGCAGTACTGTAGTAATTAAAATTCTGCCAGACAAAGGAGTATCAATAAGGAAGCAGTGGAGTAAGAGGATTTAATCAAAATATTTCAATATACCAGAGAGACAGAGACAGCCCGACATGGAAAAGAGGACCTGTAATATAAGCCCAGTATCCATCAGATTGTGCCACACACATCCCATCATTATGGATTATCCCTGAGGTTGGCAGTGATTTAAAAAATATAGAAAACTGTATTTTAATGAACTAAGAAGAGCTAAAGATCAAGATCCCTAGGTCTTTGGCTGACACTTCACAGATGCTATTTTATACTGTAATATGTAGTGCAATTTGCTGCAGTGGACATAAACAATGGATTCTTGAGGAATCCATTTCTAAATCCATTCCTATTTCTAAAGGCCATAGGAATTTGTTTTCCTCTAATCTTCTACTGACTTTGGTTATCCCAAGTACCCTGTAACAGAGACATGGTTATGCTTTTGTAGGGCAAAGTCACAAGATGTTTTGAGTTTGAAGCTCTCTTGTTAATATTTTCATGCAATGTACTGGAAGCCAATCTTTACCAGCGGGTAAACTCCCCATCCTCCCTGTTCAAGCTCAGGTGGCTCTTCAGGGACCTGGCAAGGTCCGGGTAGTTTTTTCCTTCTAGTGATGGAAGAGCGGAAGGTGAGGGTGAAATTACATTTTCAGTCCTTCTCCTGCGCAGTCCCTCCCCTCCGGAGGGGTCAAGCCTATCGCTTCTGCTCAGGACACGGTTCATTGCAGCATCCCTGGTACCATGCTAAGTTTGATGTGGGAAGTTTTTTTTATGCAAATGCAAAGGAAAGGACATATGTTTATTGAGGGAGTTTTTTCTTACCCAAAGCCTCTACCATCACTTAGGATCAGTTTGGTAACTTAACGGAATACGTGTTTTAGATAGAAAAAGTGAACTAATATTATCTGAGCGAAGAGGGAAGCATCCAACATAAGCCACGAGAGCCTTTCAGATTCGTGGGACAGTGCCAGCTTACATACAGAGGACATGCCAGAAAAGCAACTTCAACTATTCATCTACCTAAACAACCTAGAGTGTTCATTGAAGCATCCTCATTGGTTTTCAGTGGTGCAGAAAAGAGCTATTCAGGTTTGGCAGCCAAAGAGCTGATCTTTAACTCCCCAGCAGGCGTTTATGCTGAGTTCTCTCAGTTCTGGCTGGGGGCTGCAGGTCTGAAACCTCCCCGGGCACACAGGTATGCTGATGGAGATGTCAGGTAGAACAGATGGGGAATTTCTTCCTCTTAGAGACCGAGGAAGGGAGTATGAGATTTTTATTTTTTTTAGTTCTCTGAACACTTATTTACAGAAAAGGCATTCTGCATGAAATATTCCTCAGTTGGCCTCAGTGAAGAATTATGTATGTCAGTAGATCTGCTTGTCTGCATCTGATAAATGTATATTGTCAGTGAAATGTGAGGTAGCGTATAAAATTACATGCAAAATAAGCTTTCAGTTTATGCATATTTTTTTCTTACATTTCTGCGTTAAGTTTTTACTTCATGGTACCTGACAGTGGTACAGCCAGAGTAAAATATGGTGTTAAATGCACTGAGCCATAAAATCTAGCAGATGAGACCATGCTGTCTTTCATCTATGTCTTGTAAGGACTCTTCCTTAAGTCTTTGCAAGAAAAAAAAAAAAAAAAGATTTGTGAAAGAGGGGGGAAAAGAGATTGGATTTTTTAATGTTCTTAATTTT